TGATGTGCCTTTGGGTGCCCCTGAGTGTAGCTGGGTGATGTTGGAGAGGGTTTAAACTCAGYGTGGTCATGTGGCAGAAGGAGTTTTGCTGTCATGGTTCTTGCTCAGAGATTGCTGAGCTGGACAGAAATACCAGCATTTCATCTTTCCTTTTCAAAGTCTTTGGGAAAGCATCTGCAGAAGGGCTTTCTATTGCTCCTTGGTTGGGTTTTTTTTGGGTTGATTTTTTTTTCCCTGAAAGGTGAAAGAGAAAATGAATTAGAGGCAAAGAAAAGGGAGCAGGTGACAAATGAGAAGAGCAGAGYTGGAATTTCAAGATCAAATCCGTCAAATCCTGCCTCTGAGGGTGTCAGGGGCCAGGCTGCTGTGATGAACTGGGCTAACTGGAGATGTCTGTGCTGGGGTGGCTGGGGCAGGAAAGCTGGGCTGCTGGAAGGGGGAAATGGGACTGAGGTGTCCCATCTCCCTCACAAGGAAGAAGGGCAGCCAAGGAAATGTGATGGCAAACACTTCRGGAAGTGTGGTGGTGGCCTTTGTGGAAGGCTGGGGTCACTAAAATGATTTTAACCTACATTTCTGCTGTTTTAAGGGGTTGAACAACAGCTGAGGGGYTCCCTGGGCTGCCTGTGACCTTGATGGAGGAGCCAAAATGTGGTGACTGTGCCCACAGACATGACCCAGAGCTCAGGAGGGGTGAGGATGGCAAGCTGAGACTGGCACTGGTTGTTAAAATCATGATTAAAATGCTTTTTATATCAAAGTGTAGCTGATGCCTGATGTCTGGAGCCCAAACACCGTTGCAGAAATTCCTATTAATTTCACTTGGGTATGAAACAAGTCTTTTAAGAGAGAAGTTCATTAAGCAATTAATTAGAAACTGCCCTTTGTGTTGAATCCCAGTGCCCTCCATCCCATCCCAGCCCATTCCCACTGGTCTGGCAGCTTTTTCCTCCTCCAGCCCTTCCCTGGGGCTCTGCACTTCCAGATCCTTCCAGGAGCCTTCCAGAGAGMGAGTTTTTGTTTTCTCCCTTCTCCTCCTCGTCTTGAAAGCAAAACTAATGGGGATGAATCAGTGGGGTGCAGCCCCTTTTCCTGCTTTMCTCTGTGGCAAAGTGGAGGGGCAAGAAAATACAGAGGTTTGGAGCTGCAAGCAAAGTGCTGAGACAAGGGTTCCTCAATAGGATGCAAAAGTATCCCCCATAAAACAACCAAACTTAAAAAAAAATGATAATAAAATCCAATCAGGAGCAGAACAACAGCAAAAAAAAAATCTCCTGAGGTCAATAAAAGTTCAAGACTCGAAGGAAGAAGAAAATCTGTGTATGTGTGAGGAAGAGGGAGAAGTAGCTGTGATTGAGAGAAAGGAGGCAAAAGGAGACAAGATAAATTCTGATTATCTGGTGGAATCAAGACACTTAACTGCCCTGTCTGATTCCTGAGAGGAAACAAATGGAGCCTATAACTTTGTGCTGCAGGAAGATAATTTGTCCCTGTTTCCTCAGCCCTTGCTGGAGCCAGGTCGGTGCTTGGGCTGGAGGAGGCTCGAGCAGCACCTTCAGTGTGACCCTGGGGAGGGATGGGAAGGTGATTTCTTGGTGAGTGCCCTGAGAGGAGAATCTGTGCTACAGCTTTGGCTCTGCCCTGTCTGAGCAGGACCCTCTGCTTCCTGATGATGGCAGAAAAAAATGGGATAAAATCAAGACATGCAATAAATTGGTTCTAAAAAAAAATCAGTGGAAGGTAACTCCTGCAAACTTCTGTCGTGGCAGTGAAAGTGGTGAAGKTTTCACACCACACTCCTAAACTTAGTATTCCCTTGGGGTAAAAATTGGAAAAAACACAGGGCAAAGCAGTTGTGAAGTCTCATTTCTCATTTCAGGGCTGTGTTTCTTATTATCTTCTATTTAGTTTGGTATTTCTGATCTGTATTTTATACATTTATGTTATTTTTTTTCCTGTAATGGGCTTGGAGATGCTGTGAGGATTGGATGGTGATTGTTGCCTGATGGGGAGAAAAGGGAATGGGTGAAAGAGCTCTTAGGTTTTGGTGCCTCATTGGGGGGATTTGTTTAAAATAAAATTATCCTCAGCTGCAACACAGCTCTATAATGCTCTGAGTTACCYTACCTGTGTTCTAAGGAAGTTTTTCTGTTTCTGGCAAACAAAAGCACAGAAGAGTTGAGGAATCTGTCCTCAGTTTTGCTYCTTTCAGAGCAGAGGGTGGTCGAGCCCAGGGTGCTGTTTCCCAAGGATCTGGAGGAAGAAACAGAGGTGTGRTGATGTGCTGTGCCCAGAAATGCCTTGCCTTCTTCTCCTGAATTGAGGGACAAAATTCCCTGATGGTGGGAAGAAGTTGCAGTGCAAGGAGAGAAAAATTAAATATTTGCTTGTTGATGAATTAATTAATTAACTTACTTATTTATTGGTAGGGCTGGGTTTGCAGCACACAAACCACAATTATGATTAGAACTGGGCTTTCCATTCAGCTGGAATTTTAAGATCATTTCTCTTTGTTGTGGGGTGATTTTATGATGATTCTCTATTCCATCTGCTTTATGCCCAGGAATGGTTTCTGGAGTTTTTTGGTGAGTCCAGGGGTGGGGCAAGAGCAAAATGAATAACTTTYAGATATTGAACCTTCAGAACTTGTTTGTTTGTTGAATAAACAGTTCAACAGGTTTTTTTTTTTTCACTTTGACCAACCAATATTCATTTTGTATGAAAGGATTTCTGAAGCCCTTTTTTTTAGGGGAAGCATTGATTCCATTGCATTTTCTCCTAAAACWGTCTCTAAACTGACACACSCTTSCAGAAATGCAACCAAGACCTTTTGTAGTTTGAAGTATTATGWTGACCTATTGATCTGGGGTTTTTGAATGGGATATAAAGGGTGGAAGCCTGTTTTCCTATTAACCTGGGCAGAATGAATAGGCATGATCCTGGACTGATTTTGTGCTAGTTACTGACTTTTGCTACCTTGGGGACTGAGTGTCTTTTTTTTTTTTTTTTCCCATTGGGGCAAAGAAACCTTTGCTAAGGGTGGCTTTGAACATCCTCCAGCATAAAATCAAACTGGTACCTTGTTTTATATCAAGGTTACAAGTTTTGAGAAAGTGTAGSGTCTTTGTGGGGTTGGCTGCATTGACAAAGTGAGAATGCTGCAGATGAACGCTCTGCTCACAGGTTGGGATAAAACCACTTGTCTTTGTCTTTATCCAAAATGCCTTTGGTTGTGACCCATCACTCACTTGCACCTGTTGGTGGAAGGATTTTTTTTTTTTTTCCCCTCAGTGGTTAATTCTAGCTGCTCTTTTTAAAGAGACTGCTGTTCCTTCTCCAAATAGGAATTTGTCCAGGTTTGGGCACCGAGTCTTGTGATGCTTTTGTGTTTGTTGTTCAGTATCACATTTTGTCCTCTCCGTGGATGTGCTCAAGATGGCCTGAGTCATCTCACTCCTCTTAGTCACAGATGAAGCAATTCAAGCTTTTAAAGCCTTTTTTCTTTTAAAGGAAAAGTGTTTTTGCTAGCTCTGGGAATTTCGTGGCTTCCTCTTKCATCCAGTCCTGAAGGTGATGCAGCCTTGTGGATTTGCAGCCTTGGCAAAACCGGCTTTTTAGACTAAAAAACCACTCCTGACTTCCCAAAAAGCACTGAGGCTCTCCGGGCAGGGCATGGAACTTCTCCTTGCATGCTTGGACCCCCTTTCCTGCCAGAAGGGCTGGCTTTGGGATGTTCTCCTCTGCAGCTGTGGCCCTCCAGCCTTTTGGGGGTACTTGGAACAGGATCAGCAAAATAAATCTTAACCAAACAATCCTGAATTTCCAAGGGCTTCACCTGGMTATTGCTCCTCCCTGTTACCTGCTGTGCTCTCACCTGTGTTTGTGCCAGCAGTGATTTGACATTTGTCCTGTCCCCAGTGAGGGGGGCCTTGGCACCTGCCAGGCAGCTSGGTCCTCACTCAAAAGGTGCTTCATGATGTCACAGGCACTAAATTTTTAATCACAAAGTCACACAGGGCGCAGTCAAATGCCTCGCTGAAGTCTATTATTTCTTCTTTATCTGCCGGAGTTGTAATCTCATCAGAGAATAAAATCAGGTTTGTTTGACAAGCTCTATTTTCCATAAAATCGTGTTGACTGGCATTAATTACGTTCCTATCATTTAATTCTTTATTAATGGAATCTCACATCGGGTTTTTCCATTATTTCCGCTGTGATTGATGCCGCGCCGATCGATTGGGAATTGCCCAGCTCGCTCTGCTCTCCAAACCACGCTGCTGCTTTTGCCCTCTGCTCTGCTGGAGCTTCCCTGCCATTCCCAAATGGATGGAATTTGGCTGTTTGTTCTCCTTGGTGACCTGGGGGYGTGGAGYACTACCAGAGGTGGCAGAGTGTGTSYCCCCATCCTCACATCCATGTGGCCAAGGACAAATCTCATCCCCCATCCTCAAAGCCAGCCAGCCTAGGGAATTTCCCATCCTTATCTCTATCCACCAGCCTTTTTCCTCCWGTTTTCTCCCCCATCCTCCTGTTGGGGAAGGCAGAGAGTGGCKGGGTGGGATGACAGGCATGGTCAGCTGGATGTGAGTGGGCACAGAAGTGCTGAGGAATGACCTGAGGAGGTTCTTGTGGGGCTGAAATGAGGCTCCAAGGGTGGTGGCTGCCCCTGCTTTTGCTGTTGTGGCTGCTGGTGGTGCCCCTTGGCTGGAAGAGTGTGAGGGGGGCTGGTCAGAGGAGCTGGGGGACCCTCCCTCTCTGCTGCCTGGGCTGAGCTGAGCTGATTTTCTCTTCTGATAAAGGCAAGGACAGAGAGGATCTGTGGTTCAGCCCATCTGTGCCACACAGAGCAGCCAGACCACGCACAGCCTGACTCCCCTGGAGGTGCTGAGCACTGTGGGCACTATTCCAGCTCCTCTGCCTCGTCTGACCAGCTGGATGTTTTCAGGATTTCTTCTCTGCCTCGTTTTGCTCAGGATTTCTCTCCTCTCTGTCTCCTGCAGGTTCCTCAGTGACTCAGCTGCTGGCCCGGGACCTGGACAATGACCCGCTGGTTTTTGGGGTGGTTGGGGAGGAGGCCAGTCGCTTCTTCGCCGTGGAGAGCCTCACCGGCGTCGTGTGGCTCAGGCAGCCCCTGGACAGAGAGGTAAATCTGAGGAAAAGCCACCTCTGCTCCSATAAATGGTGGCTCTCCATCCTCTGTGGCAGCTGGGATGGGCGGTGTTCCCATGTGGAGTTGGGAATCTCAGAATTTGGGAAATGGGGAATCTCTGGACACACAGGATGTCACTGTCCCCATCCAGCATGGAGCTCTGGTTTGATCAGGCTCGTTGTTGGTTTTCCTGGATGCCAGAATAATATCTGTGAGTCTGGAATAAAGGAATTGAGAAGTGGGGATGATCCACCGAGGAGCCAGGTCAGGGAAATCCACCGGCTTCCTCTTTAAATCTCTGCRCCAATTCAATCCTCTGCTATTCAGAACAGCGCGTGGAGAGATGTGAGGTATCCCTGCTCATTCCATCTCATCAGGACTTTTCATCCTCTTGTGGATTCAGGCTGCTGGATGCTAAATTTGGCAGGATTCTCTCCTGGAAGCCGCTCCATGCCGCTGTTTCCAAKGGCAGCTTTGGTGTGCGAGGCTGGAATCCCATCCAGGTGCCTGCTCCGCTAAAACCTTGGCYCCTGCCACGTTCCTGGAGCAAGGAGGAAGGGATATGAGGAAGCCTGGGAAAATACTGTGTGATTTGGGCAGCATTCTTAATTTCCCCCGTGCTTCTGCTGCCCGTATTTAGCASTGCCTTGGCTGGCAGCAGCGCTGGGAAGATCAAACCCATTAACACACCTGCAGCGTTCCCAGTCGGAGCCAGCCCTGGGATTGGGATGCAGAAGGAGCAGGGTGCTGAATTCTGCTCAGGCTGGGGCTGGGGGGCGAGGCCAAACCCAATTTCACAGTGTTAAGAGCGAGACTTTGGAAAAATAAAGTGCTTTTCTTCACCCCTCTCCCCTCCRCCTGCCCGTGCCAGCAGCTGCTGGCGTGAGTCATAAATCTTCTCATCCTAAAGCCTCCTGCTTTCTGCGGCTTCCAATGCCAGCCTTAAGCCCAGGAGGGTGATCCAKGGATTTTTGGGTGTCTTGTGGTGTGGAGGGTGGGAGGGGAAGGAGATGGGCAGAGCTTGGGTGAGCTCAGAAGGGAGAGGAGGCTGCACCCATCAGTGATCCCAGAGGATCAAAAACAGCCATTCATGGAAGGGGAATGGATGTGGGAGAGGTGTAAAGAATGTCAGAGGGGTGTAAGTGAGAAATGATGGCAGAGGAAGCAGTGGGAGGAAAGGGATGGAGGTGGGCAGCAGGTTGGGAGTGGATTTCACTGGCCAAAAAGTGGTCAAAATGTTGGGAGGAGAAGAAGTGGGAAAAGGAAGAGATGAATTCTTGTGCAATGGAGAAAGAACGGAGAAGGAGTCGTAGTAAGGTAAATTATGCAGAAAAAGGTGAAATAGTGAAAAAGAGGAAGGAGCAAATGTTTGGAGGCAAAATGAATTTTAAAAGGTTTTTTTTTTTTCACACCTATGAAGAATAGAAAGAAAACAGATATTTTTTTAAAAATAGGGGACCCTGAGGCTAAAGAATTGCATTCAAATAATTTCAGAGACAGCGACTGGTATGTGGAAGCTTTCTCTGATTATTTCATTGAGGTTTTTTTTTAAATTTAAATGCTCAACAGGTTGTTTCTTATCTCCTGTTTTCCCTTTCTTCCCTGTCACTGCTGTCCCTTGTGGGGCTGAAGATGGCACAGGGAGCAGACTGTTCCCTCTCCTTTGGGATCCCAGCTCAGGAAAGGCTTTCTCCAGCTGTCCTTCCTGGTTGTTGGGATGRGGATGTGGCAGGAAGGGTGGGAGCTGTTCCCCAAACCCTTYTCCAGGATGAGCYTCTGCTCTGRAGCAGGCAGTGCTGGCTGCTGCCCRYCCCTGAGCCGATCTCRTYAGGGATAAATCAGTCAGAGCTGGCTTTTCCAGCCTTTCCTGCGTGATCCTTTGGGAACATCAAGCTGAGTCAGGGACACTGGAGGTGGGAAGGGATTGTCAGGACTGGAGGGGGATGCAAAACACCCCAGGTAGATGTGGTGGCCCAACTCCTTCTGTCCATCTTTACACAATTCCTTGGTGAAACATGAGCAAAACATTTCCTGGTGGGAAGGAAAGGGCCAGGAAGAGAAGGTCTGTCTCCACGAGCGATATCCCCCTGCCCTGATCCCAAAAAGCTCTTTCCCACTTGCTGCTCACCCCAGCGCCAGTGCCTTGAATAGATTTCTATTTCCAGCTGTTAATTTAGTTAAAGCARTGAACTGTGAGAACTGTGTGGGCATCTTCATGGAATTTCTGCTGGTTCCTACTACAGACCGTGGATTTATCCCAGTATTCCCAGCTCTGGGATAGGTAAGGTGGGAAAGCAGCAGCAGGATTTGGATGTYGTCACTGAGGCTGTGTTGTGTTGTCACAAATCGTAAATTTTCCTGTGTTTTAAGCGCTCAGCTGCCAATCAGGGAGTCAGTTCCATGGTCCCTGCATCCCCCTGACCCGGGGCAGAGCATCTCCTGTGCCTGTGGAATGCACAGGAACCCTCTGGCATTCAGATTTCCCACAGCATTTCCTCCCTGGTGTAGGTAACAGCACTGGRGCCCCTCTCCTTTTCTGGAAGGTCCCGAGAGCATTTTGCGTGTAATGACATTGGCTGAAAGTCCCCTCCTGCCATCTGCAGATAAACACCACAGTATCTTTAATTACAGTTTTTTTTCCCTTTCAGACCAAGTCGGAGTTCACGGTTGAGTTTTCTGTCAGTGACAGCCAAGGGGTGAGTGTGACTTCTCATTTCACGGTTGGCCAGAGGGGAGCTGGGGGTGTGGGATGCCCACACCAGGGGAGAGGGGTCACCCCAAAAACACAGCCCCCAGCTGGCTTTGGGCTCTAAATCCCCTCAAAAAGCTGACACCCTGCTGTCATCCTTGTGCCACAGGTGATCAAAGGGACGGTCAACATCCAGGTTGGTGACGTGAACGACAACGCCCCGACGTTCCACAATCAGCCCTACAGTGTCCGCATCCCCGAGGTAAGGATCATCTCTGCCTGGCTGCTGGATCCTCCCTTAGTGGCCACTTGTGCTCTCTGGTTGCCACCACAGAGCTGGCCACCTGCCCTCCTTCCCGGGACCMTCCTGAGTTTAGAAAAGGATGAAAATTCTGAAAGGTGTTGCCTGAAAATGGGCAGAAAAAGCAAAGTGTTTTGGGTRTTGAGGGGAGGCAGGTGGGAAAGGAGATGTGGAGCCTTGCTGACACTTTTCCCATGGCAAACGGGAAGTTTGCAAATGAGTGTGAATGAGGATGTGTGTCTTGTTCTTTTCCTTGGAGTTGGGGGGGATGAGCTGCTCTTCTCACAGGACTGAGGATTTCTCCAAATGCCCTGAATTCTGGCTGGTGATTTCCTTTAACATTTCCATAGCAGGGCTTGTCCCGTGATGTCCCTGGAATGAAACAGGTGGGAAGGGACCACAGGAGCTCAGCTGGTTCAAGCTCCCTCTAGATCAGGCTGCTCAGGGCTTTMTCCAGCCAAGTGTTGAATATCCCCAAGGATAGAGTTTCCACCACCTTCTGCTGCTCCCTGAGCTGGCCACTGCAAAGGAGGTGACATCTGCTCATCCATCAGGGAGAGCTTCTGCACCAGGCAGCCTGACTCAGCCAGGGATTCACAGGTCTGATGTGAGTTTAGGCTTTTAAGCTGTGGTTTCTGGTGCCAGGAGGAGAAGGTCAGGGTGTTCCCTTTGGAGCAGGGGTTTAGTAGGGCATTTGACATCCTCCAGTGGAGGAAACCTCTTCCCCTTGCACCACAGTGTTTTTCCCAGGCTGTTCCTTGGGTCGTGGGTGAGATCCCATGATTGTGTGTGTGTGAAATGAAGCAGCTCTGGTAACTAAGAGGTGCAAACGATTGTGTTACCAGGCTGTGTTTGATATTCCTGCCACGCTGGGCTCTGCTCCCTCCCCATCCCGCTGCCCGAGGATGAGGTTTCTTCATCCGAGCCGYGTGCYGTGTATGAGCCRGGAGCTGCGGTCTCATCTTTGCACYGAGTCACCTGAAACCTCCCCGTGAGGATGACACCAGGRCAGAGGCGTTTCTGCTGCTCTGTGGGGCACGGGTGGTGGGGAAATGACCCTGCAAAACCCACCCGAGGTGCCCCTTGCTCGGGTCTCCGGAGCCGGCAGCTGCTGCTGCTCCTGGTCAGGCACAGGTCTGCAAAGCCAAAAGAATGGCAGCAGGATGGGAGGGATGGGAGAAGAGAGAGTCTCCTCTGCTCTGCCCTCAGATKTACCCCTGGTTTTGCTGTTTTACCTGCCCTCCCTGCAAAGAGGTGGAAGTGACTGCCCTGGGAATCAGGGCTGGGTTAAGGACAGTTTTTTTATGTGTACCTGGAGTATCTGTGCCAYGTCTGTTCTTGCTGATGGCTTCTGAAAGCCAATATTGCAAGCTGGTCTCACCCATTTCCAGTATTAACCTGTGCCCAGCCATGGGGGACAAAAGTGCTGGTTTGGGATTATGGAATCTGAGAGTCTCAGAATGGTTTGAGCTGGAAAGGACCTTAAATCTCACCTCATTCCACCCCTTCTGCCATGGGCATGGACACCTTCCACTATCCCAGGTTGCTCCAAGCCCTGTCCAACCTGGCCTTGGGCACTGCCAGGGATCCAGGGGCAGCCACAGCTTCTCTGGACACCCTGTGCCAGRGCCTSCCCACCTAAACAGGGAAGAATTTCTAATTTAATACCTAATTTAAACCCTCCTCTCTTGTGGTTGAAAGCCATTCCCCTGTGCCTTCCCCACTTAGAAAATCAGGGTTGGCTGAGGAAAGGGAACTGCAGGCAGGTGATCTGGATGAAATGAATGTATAAAAGAAGAAGAGGATGACCCTTGAGCCCCTCTGTGCCACATCACACGTGGTTCTGCTGGGAGGGGTTTCTGGGGCTGTTTGGGGTGCAGTTGGAATTTTGGGGTCTGGGCTCTTTTCCCCCCATGCAGAGTGCTCGGCCACAGGAGCTGTACTCTTTGGAGGTTGGCCTAATCTAATTACGAGGCAGAGCGTGCCAGCTTCCAGTTCCCATCCGTGATCTTTAACCAAGGGCATGGAGCAGAGGTAATGAGCCACAAACGCGGTGCTCCGCCAGCATCCTGGAGGCTCTCCCGTTCCTTTGCCAGGGAGGCAGAGCCTTGCTTTGTCAGGCACTGTGAGAGCAAGGAATGGGGTCTCACCACCTCAAGGGGACCCTCYGAGGGCTGCAGCCTGCGGGAGGTGTCGGCAGTGAACTTTTCCTGTGGAAAAAGGAAAACGAGACTTGTGCTGAGCCACGGCTTCTCCCTGGTGCTTGTCCATGTGGCATGGAAATGTGCCAGGGGACATGCAGGGAGCAGCTGAGGCTGGGGGTGGCAGGTCACCCCATGCTCCAGACAGCCTGAGGGAGCCACCATAGGTACCAAAAACCACTTCAAACAGAGCCCAGCCCGAGTCCAAGGGCCTGTGGATGATCCATGAAGAGAGGCTGRAGCTTGGAGAAAGAGGAGAGGCCGGTGTGGCCTCCAATAGACCAGCTCTGTGCAGATTTGGCAGCTAATGAGGGTTTTTCTCTTTTTAATTTTGAGATAAATGGGTGTATCGATTTGCGGTTGTCGCGGCTAATGGAGCAGCAAGCGAAGGGCCATTTAAACCGCGCCGCTATTGTGTGGCACTTGGAAAGTCAAAAGAAGAGCGCGCATAAATAAATGGAACACGGAGTAAACTGACCTTTAAAAACAATACTGCCTCCCAACGCCTGCTGCGGTGTTTTACGCGCTCCGCTTGGCGGGAGAACGCGGATTTATTGGGGCATGGGCATGGATTGGGATCTCTGTGGTGCAGGGAGGGAGGCAGAGGATGCACCACAGCAGCTCTGAGTGCCCATTGTGGGCACTGCTGGAGTGGCACTGGCGCTCTACGCTYGTTGTGTGTCCATCTCATCCCTGGAATTGCCATCCCAGAGAGAGGGATGTGGCTCCAGCGCAATCGTCCGTCCCGTCTGGGCGAGGGCGTCCCGTGCTTGGCACATCAGGGGGCAGCGAGGCAGGGCGAGCCTGGGAAGGGAAGGAAAGGGGGAATCCTGCTAGAATTGGCSACTCAATTCGCCAAGCTGGCCTCGACAGAGCTCATTAAGTTCCCGTGTATTCATTTCAGGCTAATGGCTGTCACGCTGGCTGCTGTTTGATTTGCTGTAATGGACTTTTATGGCTTTCCAGTTTGCGAGGACGTGTGTGCCCGTGGCTCTGCCCCGTGGTGCTGCTCTAGTACATTAGTTAGCTGCTCATGCTACTCTGACCTTCAGGGTTTGTTCTCCTCCTGGATGCATCCCTTGCACTTCATCTTCTGCTCACACAGTCCTTTTTACCCACCTCTCCCCATACATTTCTGGGAGTCTCAGGATTTGGGCTTTTAAACAAGGGAAGATCTATTGCCAAGCCCGTGGCAGGCTGTTGTGGCCATGCCTCAGTTTCTGACAAGTCCAATCTGCTTTATCTAATCTTTTTTCCATTTGGCTGGATCCATGGGGAACTCAGAGTTGTTGGATTGTCACAGTTCAGTGTTTCGAGGTGAAGCAAGCGAGCCGAGTGGAGCCAAGCCCCTGCGCTGGTTTTGTTGTGCCAGGTGTGATGGTGAGGTCAAGGTGGGCTTTCCCCCTGGATGCTGCCAGGTTTTCTGTCCCAGTTGGCAGCAGGAAACTTTCTGAGGCTTCCACACAACTTTCCTTTTGCTTTTAACTGTGCCTGGGGCAGTGGTGGRGCCACCATCTCTGGGGAGATGTAAAGGATGTGCTGATGTGGCACTGGGGACATGGGTTAGTGATGGCCTTGACAGYTGGACTCAGTGGTCCTGTAAGGCTTTTCCAACCTGAATTGTACTATGAGGTGAACAAACTTCAAACCTTCTTGGGAAAAGCTTTTTTCCCCATAACCCCCAACATCCTGAGCTTCCTGATCAAGATTAGACCATCCGTGGCCTTCTTCTGGCCCTGCAGCATCAGCAGTTCTGATGTGCTGGCAGARAGGTCATTAACAGTTGGTTTCTTTGCTGAAAGTTCCCTCAGGAGGTTTCCATTGGGGATTTCTCTCCTTTTGTGTTCTCTGCACCTAATTTCTCCTGTTATACTTCTAACATGCCGAGTGATTTATGAAGTGTGTTACATATTGAAGTGAAAATCCCCATCCCTGGAAGTGTTCAGGGAYAGGTTTGGATGGAGCTCTGAGCAGCCTGGTMTGGGGGAAGGTRTCTGKGGCTGGGGCTGGGAAATTGATGGTCTTTAAGGGCCATTCCARCCTAAACTATTCCATGATTCTTTGATCTTCTRGTGAAAAGCTGACCTCAGCACTGGGCCATAGACTGCAACTCAGCACCCCAACCATTGCTGAAATGGCATTTGCACCCCAAGAAAAGTGACTTGGCGAGGTCACAGGAATTATAACAGAGCTCTGCTTTCCAAAGGCATCCTCTGTGACCACAGCCTTGGGAATGTGCTCATCTCATCCTGGGTTCAAGCAAGCACCAGCAAAGAGGCAGGGCTGTGGGGAAGTGGTTTAAAAATGGAAAGTTTCTGGGCTGCAGTGTTGAGGCAGCCACAGCTCCTCTTGCAGGTGTCTCATCTCCCGAGCTCAGCCCTGATTTGCCAATTTATTTTGATTGGGAGGCGGGCGGGTGCTCGCCATCAGCAGCAGCCCCTTCTGCTCGGGGAGCAGCCTTTGGGATTGMGCCTTCACGAGCTGCTGGCCACCATTTCCATTCTTAATATGGAGGCGTGGCTGAAATCGTGGCTTTTATGATGTCTTTTTCTTAATTGTGCAGAAAAGTATTTGGCTGGAAAGGGGTTGAAGAAGAGGGGGAGCATCGTTGCTCCGTCCCATTGCACAGCCTGGAACCAGAGCAGCGAGCAGGGGCAGGGAGGAGCAGAGAAAGGCCTGAAAGCCCTTGCTGTAATTAAAATGATTATTTTGCTTTAAGGGTAATAATGTCAGTAATTACATCGGTTTCCCAGCCATGCT